AATTTATGGAAATTTATGCGGTTATTTATAGAAATTTTGTCTAAAATTCATAAAAATATGTAAAGCATAAATCACAAATAAAAATTTTAATTTTGGTAATTAACGGAAATTTCCGCGGTAATTTACAAAAATATATAGCGCGAACGACAATTAAAAATTTTGATATCGGTAATTTATGGAAATTTATGCGGTAATTTATAGAAATATGTAAAGCATAAATCACAATTAAAAATTTTAATTTCGGTAATTTATGGAAATTTATGCGGTATTTTACAAAAATATATATAGCGCGAACGAAAATTAAAAACTTTTATTTTGGTAATTTATGGAAATTTATGAGGTAATTTATAAAAATTTACTTGGCAATTTATTGTAAACTGACCGGAGCTACGATAGTTTATAATAAATATTTTTAATTTCGTTTGTTACACAGTAATAATAATGTAACTACACTTTATTTAATATTTATTATTTAATTATTTTTTGTTATCTAAAAAAATATTGAAGGGTAGGTGGATGCCGGTGGAGACGAATTTGTGATGCCCTGTACAAATTTTAATCTTGAAATGTGTAAAAAAAGGATAAATCAATTAAAAAATTGATTACTTTCTTCATGGATCAACTTAAAGAAAGTAACTTTTGCTGTTACTGAAGTACAACTATGTTAATATTTGACTTTTATTTGACTTTTATTTGAATAATTCAATGTTTAATAATAAAACGCAGAATAACACACAAAAGTGCAGTCAAGCATAAATAGTAAAAAAAAAGAAAATAATTATTTTTTTGATCAAACGTTTTTTTATTCAATTCCACTAAAATATACAATACTAAAATGTCAACAGTAATTGTATTTATTAGTGCACATTGCTAAAAATATTAAATTATTTCTTTAAACATTCTGTGGGGACAGGTCAAATTTTGACGTTTTCAGCCTTAAAAACCACTTTTCACGAAAAATTATAATGTTAGATACAAAAGTAACTATTGGTTTCTGTTTGTTATCATAGAAATTACCTTTTTACATTAGAATCGAAATATTATGTGAACATTAATTGTGATTTTTCTTTCACAACATAAAAAAAATCAAGTTGTGCGCTACGCGTAAAGGATTTTTTAAAAAAAATTAATTTCCCCTAGTTATAAACAATTGAAGCTTTTTGCAGTCTTTTATTAAAAAATGAATATCATGGAACAGTGTGCACCGATCTTTATAAAATTTGGTATGCGTGCTTAGAAAATAATATAGTTTGAATTAAAATTATAAAAATTTTAAATTGTTTAATTTCAATAATTGTTATTGCAAAAAAAATTGTTTATAAGCAAAAAAAACAATGTTCTCATCCGCGTAGAAAGTTGACATAAAAATCATTGGAAAGGATATTTTATAAGGATTCGATAACCGTTTTGAAATTTAGTGGATCGCGATTATTAACAAAGTAACAGTGTTTTTTCTACCGCGCTGCACGTCTCTACGCGCTCCTCCGCGTTCACTTTCCACTGCTTGTTAGGTTATTTCCGTAGTAGATGAAACCTTTTGTAGGTAGTATATAAGTAGTAGTGGTAAATGGTTGATTTTAATATTATTATAAGTAAGAATATGTTACAAGTAATTTTTTTTAATTTTTTCTTCTCCGTGTTTTGCTTTTAAATAAGATATCAATTTCTTGTTAAAGAGATGCACAGACGCTGTATTATGCTTATCGCCTTCTGAAATGATGACAAAATTGTCATTCTGAAGCTTATTATTTTTCCTATTATATATTACATAAGGATGTAATGTGGCCTGCGCATTAGACCAATGGTACGCTTGTATGGCATCTTGCACACAAAAGCTATAATTTTCTGAAAAATCTAACGCAACTAAAAATTCTCCATCACACAAACTCTCCTTTAAATTTTGCGAGGAAATCGTGTTTTAATAACGTCGGTAAATCTTCTCTCATTTTTTGTAAAAAATCTTCAACGCAAACTTGCTGAGACTTCAATTCACATCTAGTTAAAAATCATAGCACTTACATAAATTGAAAACATAAAATTTATAATGGAAATAAATAAATAAATAATACATTAACAATTCATATAAATTTTCAAAAATTGTAAAAAATATTTTAACATACGAATTAAAAGTAGTGAATCTCTAAAAGCTCTGAAAGCCACTTGAATTAAACAAATAATTAAAAAACGACAAATAATTAAAAAACAAAATTAATTTTCGAATTTACCTGTCAGTGTTGGTACATTCACTGTATTTTATTTGCGTTACCGAATAATCGCTACATAATTTTCGTATTTTTTCACAAAAACCTGCGGAACCGGGACATTTTGAGCAATTTAATAAGTGGCAAGGTGATCCGGGATCTTCACACATCATATCTTTTAATACATCCTTGTAAGTCAATGTTAAATCGTACTGGTTCTTCTTCAACTCAGATTTTAAACCTTGGAACATTAATCTAATATTTTGATGAGTCTTGCAGACGCATACATTGTGACACCCATTTCTATTTGCCAAGATACATTCTTTGGGTCGCAGTTTTGAGAATTTCGATAAACTGATTTTATCATCCGGAAATTTTTCCTTAAAGCTTGAATACAAGTCTTTCAGATCATAAAGTAAAAGCTGTTTTTGAACATTTATTCGACCTTCATCTAATTTAATAGAAATACAGTCTTTTTTCCCCGGCATTATTCGACTGTTTTCTTCTGACAAGTAAAAGTCTTTAACCTTTTTTACGATTTCAGGATTTAGAGGTCGACCTTTTTTCTTGTCAGGGCGAGATTTGTATCCTTTTGTTAGTCTTAATTTTTTTGCGCGAGATGCCATGCGGCGGGAAACATTAAAATGAGCCCGTATTTGCCGAATACTCAATTCTATTGGAAGAGTTGTTAAAATTTCTAATTTTTCATGATAATATTTTGCTTCCAATAACGCATTATTAATATCATGAATTAATTGTTCGCTGATTATTATCGGTTTAGGTTGCATCACTTTTTTAATTAGATTAGAAACAGTTATTGCTTCAACATAGTTTTCTTCAATGTCTAGTTTTTGTCGTTTCACTTTGCGATCTGGTGTGACATATTCATGAAGAATTTTTTGAACTTTTTCAATTTTTAAATCTCGATCCACCGTGCGAAACTCACATGTAGGATCCTTTATATTGTCATCTGTTTATGCAAAGAATTTTATTAGATATAGTTAAAATGATAAATAAATAAATATAAATAAAGATATTTTAATTCATATAATTAACATTCATAGCTCTATATAAAATAGCTCTTGGTTAATTTCGATAAAGCTGAATCAGAAAAGATGTTACTCTAAGATTAACTAAATTTTAATTTACCTGTTAAAAAGTAATTTATAATAAAGTAATAATTTCTAATTATAAGATATTAATATAAATTTTACCTAATTCTTCATCTGTACTATCCGATCCAATTTTCATTTCTGTATCTTCGGAAACGATTGGGAAAATTTTTTTAATTTCAACTTTTTCATTACTTAAAGTACGCCTACAAGAATCGCATACATATAGCCCAATGAGGGGACTAAACACAGATTTCCAATTATTTGTAACACATTTTAACTTTTTGTAAACTGAATTATGTTTTGATTTTAATAATGGATTACAGCACTTATTAGTCGGTGGCATTTTGCATTTAAAGAATGTGCAATTCTTGAATATACACAACGTCTAAACTTAATTGCTTAACATACACAAACATTTACATGGAAAAACTATTATAATAATCACAACACAAACAATTAATTTTGTTTAAAAACACGTTTTCACTGGAAAAAAGTTTTTTAAATTATGGAAACAGTATTCAGTGAATAAAGCGGCACTTCAAGCGCTTGACGTGTCCATACTTGTTTCGCGCGGAGGAGCGGTATAGAGACGTGCAGCGCGGCAGAAAAAACGCTGTAACTTTGTTAATAATCGCGATCCACTAAATTTTAAAACGGTTATCGAATCCTTATAAAATATCCTTTCCAATGATTTTTATGTCAACTTTCTACGTGGATGAGAACATTGTTTTTTTTGCTTATAAACAATTATTTTTGCAATAACAATTATTGAAATTAAACAATTTAAAATTTTTATAATTTTAATTTAAACTATATTATTTTCTAAGCACGCATACCAAATTTTATAAAGATCGGTGCACACTGTTCCATGATATTCATTTTTTAATAAAAGACTGCAAAAAGCTTCAATTGTTTATAACTAGGGGAAATTAATTTTTTTAAAAAAATCCTTTACGCCAGTTAATTAACTCATTCTTACGTTATAATTTTGTATATTTACAAGTTTATACAAAAAACATGAAATTTGGCTGGTACACTTCAGGAATTTTGACTCTGTTATATCTACTCTAAAGTGTGGTACAGAAAATTTAAAAAAATTTCAAATAATTGGTAACACTGAAAGTTTATAGTTTATTTTTTTCAGTATCTATCCTACAAATATAATATTTACTCGCAGTTTTATTAATATGAAAATTCAAAACTTTTTTCATTAACATATTTCGAAAGTCAATGAAAAATTGAAATTTTTTTTTCTTGTCAAAAATTCTTAAATTCAGTATTTTTTGGAGTTATATGTCCTGAAAATTATGTTTACTTTTAAAAAACCTCAAAATACCCAGATTTTAAAAATTCATAACTTGAAAATTTGTGCACTTATAAAATAATACGTATACTATTTTTTTTGCAAGGAACGGAAAAAATATATTTATCCGAATGTAAAATATCATGGCAAATTTCACGTGAAATCGCCCAAATATATATTGTTCTGCCTACAAAAACATACATTTTAGTTTTCCTTTAATATTCATCTTTTAAAATTATATTGTTTTGTTGAGAAATATGTATATTATTTGAAAAATTTTACCATTCTGTACTTCTTTTTTGACTGGAGACATTAATAACACAAGTTTATTGGTACACTAGCCTTTTAACTTGATACATGTAAATTTTTAATTGCAGAAAATTCTGATTCAATGGATGACGATGAACAAAATTCAGTGAAAGGTGTTGGATACGTTACATCACCTAAATCAAGAAGTCCACCTCTTACTTCTGGTATTATAAAATCCTACTTACAAATTATTTACCTAATAATATCTTAGTAGAAGTGATGAAGGTCTGACATAGAAAATATATCTTCCATTCAGATCACTTACTTTATTTTAAATAAAATTTTCAGGCAATTATACTGCTAATTCAACTAAATTAAACAATAATTTCTTCAGAGTAAAATAATTTTTTAAATTTTAAATCAAATTAATTTTTTTAAAGTTTATTTGAAAATATATGAAATTTCCAATTAAATTGTCTATATTAAAATGTAATTTGATCAATGCATGCTAATTCTTCAAAAATCTAGATAGCTACAGAAGCTGAATTTTTTTAATTAGTTACTTTTAGAAAATGGTATAGTTTAATGTTACCAGGCTTTTTTAATGTAAAACACATATTTGCTAACTGAAGGTGTAACACAACTCTAGAACTTTGAAAAAATCGATTTTATTTCATCTGAAATAATACTTTAAACTCCTAAAATAATATGCAATTGGTCCTAGAGTTAAACCAATTTTTAAATTACTTTATTATCGATTTTGCTGCAATGCCTCGAGGCGCGCGCTTATCACTTGGTTTAAAATCGAGAAGTCTTCTGATTCAGCAGGATCTATTTCTTCGGAAATGATGATTCGGATGTCATAAAATTGCGATTTATATACATTTTTTCTTAACTGAAACATAACTTTTACAATATTCGCGATGCCACATTGCTGATATTACTTTAAACGCGATGTTCTCGAATCCATTTTTTTCAAACTGAACGGACAGATTACTGTTGAGAAATATGTTTACCCAATGAGATAAAGTAACCCAAGAAAAAGCGCAAAACACACTTTTATTTCAGAAAGCAACTACCCTTTTTTATTAAGCTGCAGTTCCTCTAGGTTTTAAGAAAACAACTCTCCCAATGTTAACTGACAATGAGGAGAGAGACTAACGTCTAGTTGCGCACAGTGGTCCATGAATAACAAATCTATATGGACAAAAATCCTAGCTCAAAATTTTTTGAATGGATTTTTGCACTCAAGACCAAGGGGTTTTCAGGGTCGCTGATTAAGAATTTGATGTCAGTTTTTAAAAATTAAAAATGTCGGATCCAATATAACGGACTTATTTTTAAAATAGTCCAATTTCCATAATTCTCGATATCTAAGGGTTTTTGGGATCGCTGATTGCGAATTTAATGTCGGTTTTTAAAAATTCAAAGTGGAGGATCCAATATGGTGGACTTTAATATAATTGTTCGATTTCCATCAAACTGAATACGTAGGAATTTTTGGGGTATATTTCAGTACAATTTTTATTTCAGTTAATGAAAACAATCGAATCACTCTTTAAATTTTAGAAAATAATAGCTGTTGGGGCTGTTCCCTTTAAATATCTAAGTACCCTTTCTGCGGCCTTCCAAACTGTCCTAATTCGCTGATCGAATACGGTATATCGCGACGAGTTGTCACTGACAGGTAAGTAAGAGCTCCCATTAATTCACGATATAAAAGCTTTCGTTCTTCGTCATTCACTTTTTCGTTTTTCTTGAGTTTGGTTCCGATGTTCATTGGAGTGCTAACTGGATTGTAGTCCTTGATTTCGAATTCAGAAGATAACATTTTTCGAAAGTCACTAATTCGTCATCGACGTAGATGTCAATCAGCAAGATATCTTCCCCTGTTCCGGATTGAAAAAGGCAAGGATATCCTATCGTTGAATTGGCACCGAATTTCCGCAAGATTCCGTCGAGTTTTTGATACTAAGTTCTTCCTGTCTATTTCAGTCCGTAGATCGTTTTTTATAAAAGATACACTTTATCACCGGTATTAAAATCACTCAACATTTTCTTTGCGTGTTTTCTTATTTCACTATCACTTGCGACGTCAATCAAATGCTGTAAATATTCCCTAAGGTGTTTTGGATTTCCATGTTGGGTTGGGTTCAGAATATTCTCCGTTGAGATATGTTGATTCAATGTCTTATTGTTTTATTTTCAGGTCGACTTTCGCGGGGAAAGAAGTCATTAGACGAATGATGCTAAAACGAGTCACTGGAGTGAATGTTTTACTGAAGTGTATCTCAGGTTGATGTTGAAGTCCTCAAGCAATTGCTCAAAAGCAAAGCTAATTAGCTTTGCTTTTCTTGTTTCTATCAAGCTATATGGATTAACTTTGTTCCGTAAAATCATTTGACTTCCTATTACCTCTGAGCCATCTTTTGGGCGTTCTGATAGAATGCAAGTCTTTTTTTTTAAGGAGAGATTCCATTTCCATTGCAATTGTATTTTTCCAATCATTAGAATCACTTCCCATCAAAGCTGCATTTATTGAAATTTTCGAAATCGCAGGCTGATTGTTCTGTAATTTGACACTACCTCTTAGTCCGCTTCTTGTTGCTGTTCGTGGAACAAACAGACTTCCTTTAAGGCGTCCTGGTTTTTTCCTTGCTTTTGTTGCTAGTGCTTGTATTCTTTCGTTGCCGATATTAACATCTTTTACAGGTTGTTCTTCTTGTTTCAAAGGTTCTGATAGTGTCATTGTTGAATCCTTGAAACTCTTCCTCTTCACCGCTTGAGTACCAGTCGTCGTCGTTTTTAATTCCACTTGTTCTGTTGTTTTCCGGTGCTGTTTCATGCTCCAACATTGTGCAGCGATGTTTAGAATTTTTTTCGATGCTTTTCGACAACGTGATTGTTTTATCGTTATCACAGCTTCGATACGCTTTTGATTTGTCCAAGAATCCAAGAAAGTTCCTTCATGACCTCGCTTATCGAGTTTACTTCTTCCTGGATCAGGATCCAGTAAAAAATTTTACTTCTAAAAATTCTTAAATTTGATATATCAGGCGTATTTCACCTTTCCATGCTTCGTATGGAGCTTTTCCGTTGAGACTTTTTGCAGGCATTAGTTTTCGAAGATAATTTCCACTTGTCACTGCTTCGGCCCAATATTGATCCGGTAGATTGGCATCCATTAACAAGCACCTTCCTGTGTCCAAAACTGTTCTATTCTTTCTTCCGTCAGGCCCGTCCTGCTCCGGGTTGTTTGGTACCGTCAATCTCCTTGAGATTCCTTTTCATTTCAAGTAGTTATCGAACTCCATGTTAATATACTCGCGTCCCTTGTCCGGATAAATAACTTTTACCTTTCCACCAAAGTCACATATTCTTTGATTTTTCCGAAAATATCCGCTATGGATTTTGTGAACCTGATTTCATAATACTTGGAGTGATCGCCGATGAATTTAACATATTACTTTGCTCCACCGAGTGAAGTTGCCTCAAACATCCGTGTAAACTATTTTAAACAAGTTTAAATTCAGATGTTCATTACATGAACATTTTTCTTTCTCTTTACGATCAGCAAAAAAATTTGCTTTCTCGTGGAGAAAGCATTAACATTGAAATAAACATACATAAATAATATATTAATATAAACATTTGAGAATACAAAATTTTTCAGCTAAAATGTGAATTTTTGATTTTTTATAACATTCATTAATTCTTTAAATTTAAATCAAATGTATACTTTATATATACCAATCGATTCGTTTTCATGCAAGGAATAAAATGATTTTATATATACACTTCAATTTAAAACAAGGAGGGGGTCCTTTATGTTTATTTCATAAACATTTTGCTTCCTCATTTTGTGAAGCAAAAAATTTGTTTCCTCGTGGAGGAAGATATGAATTTCTTCAATGCAAAACTGATTTGAACTAATTAAATATTTTGAAAAATTAAGAAAATTTTAAATCATTTTGGGTGTAACATATGGGCGATTCCACGTGAGATTTACCTATGACATTTTAAATTCGGTAAATATATTTTTTTTCGATCTTTATAGAAAAAAAAGGTTTACGTATTTTTTTATTTTTTTATAAGTGCTCAAATTTTCGTGTTATGAATTTTTAAATATTTGATTTTTTAGATTTTTTTTAAAATACATCTAATTTCAATGACTGTAACTCTAAAAGCTTTGAATTTTGGAATTATGACCAACATAGAAAAAAGTTTCAGTTTTTCATCGACTTTCAAAATATGTTAACGAAAAAAAAAATTTTGAATTTGTTTATAAAAAACTGCAATTTTTTATAAACAAATTAAATTTTTTTAAATTTAGGCGCGATTTTTTAAAATTTTTCTTGTTTTTACACACATGAAAATAAGAGGAAAATTTTGTAATAAGTTTTGGAGTGGGCATGATGATCCTTTTGTTTATATAATTTGTTTAAAAAAAAATTTTACTTTTTTTTCGTTTTCTTTTTATTTTTCAAAATAAAATGTATTTTAATTTGCTTTTTTATGAGTTTACTAAAAAATCCTAGTGCCAAAAACACTTCATTTTGAAAAATGAAAAAAAAACGAAAAAAAAGTAAAAAATTTTTTTTAAACAAATTATATAAAATTATATAAACACAACATTTTTTAGCTAAAATGTAAATTTTTGATTTTTTAACTTTCATTAATTCTTTAAATTTAAATCAAATCTATACTTTATATATATACCAATCGATTCGTCTTGACGTAAGGACAACGATTTTATTATATATCACCTTAAATTTTGATATTTAAAATTTTTTTCGATTAAAAAAATTTTTTTTGAAAAAAGAAAAATTTTTTTTTTGGGTATTTTTTAAAATCCTTTCATCCATTTTGAGATATTAGTCTGATAAATAAGCCTACCAAATTTCACCCAAATCCATTAAAACCTGTTAAAGTTATCGTGTTTACAAAAACGATCCACACACATACATCCGGAAAATTTTGGAAAGGGGGTTATCGTCATCTTCCCCTAAAGACAAGATTCACAGTCTAACACATTTTTGGATCTCCACACCTGTCACTGCATTTTTGTTAACAGCGTCTCGAATAACTCTGAAATTCGCGTGACAAAGCGTCGATGTATTGTCTCGAGCGTGGTTTTGCACACTTTCGAATTTGATACCGAGTTGGCACTATCGCAAGCTTCCTTCACATCCTTCCATTCTGTTTGAGCAAATTTGAATTTCTTATTTAGAATTTTCACGCATTTATTGTCGAACAAAACACTGTAAGCTTGATTGGTAATTCTCGACACTGACAATAAATTTGTTCTCTAATCAGGAGCGTGTGTTCAAAAACCAATTTCTACATAAACCGATTCCTGTACAATTTATCGCGTTAAAACACAGTTCTTCAGCGGGTTTAGTCGAGTGATAGTTACTTTCATTATCAGGACATTCGCTTTTCTTGTGTCCGAATTTTTTGCATTTATGGCACAGAAATTTAAATCAACCTTTTTCTTACGTTTTGTCTTTGTCTTTAACTTTCACACTCACTTCTTCACGTTTCTGACCACTGTATTCATTTGCTAACATGGCATCAGAATTTTCCACTTGTCGAGTATTTTTTCGCGTATCGCTTTCCTCTATAATCTTTATTCGCATTAATTCTGGTGTTGGAAGGTTATCCTGCGACTCAATAATCGAAAGAATAATGTCTGACTTCGCCTTCTGGTCACTTTTAATCCAAGCTTGTTCTGTCGCTCTACTTGCCTCGTTGTTACCCTTTTTTGGACTTTACCAAAATTCCGTTTCCCATGTAGAAATTTTGCCCTGCACGGAAAGAATTTCGAGACATCACATGCGCTACCAACCGCGCATCGTTTGTGCTTGAGTTATGCACGTGTGATGTCCATTTTCGAGACATAGACTACGTTATAGCAGACGATCTTGCAATGCGCAAAGCGAATGCGCAAAGAAAACACGCCTCATGTCTCGAAAATGCACATCACACATGCATTTTCGAGACATGGGACGTGCGTTGTGAATGTAGTGCGCATGCCATGTAGTTCTCGAAGCGTCCGCACAGCTGATGTCTCGAAATTCTTTCCGTGTGGGCTTTGCATGGTACTTTCCAGTTACCTATGTTCCTGGCGTGGGCCTGTCAAGGAAAACTGGTATGGGCCAATTCAAGGGTGTAATGGTTTGGCGACGATTTTCCCTACTTAGGGTAAAACTTGCTAGGGCTATGAGCGTTTTTCTGGCAATTACTTTATAATTTGCTGTGGAAAAAAATATTTTTCTCAATCAATAATATTTTTGTCAAAGAAGTGAAAATTACTGATTTAAAAACATCTACCATTGGCGATTCAAACAGCTACACTAGCGCCACAGTTGAACTAATTTAGGCGTGACTCGCTCTAAAGCAGTCTCTGTTTTGACAGTTTATTTCAAATTATTTAATTATTCTGATATTTTTATTGCGTTTGTAAAATTATTTTTAAGCGTTAAATAAAAAAAAATAATTTAAAACTCATGGAGTGCTACAGAGCGAGTCACGCCTAAATTAGTTCAACTGTGGCGCTAGTGTAGCTGTTTGAATCGCCAATAGAATTTGTTAAAACTGATACAAATTCTATTATAAAATTATTTTTTAAATCAATAATTTTTTATTGTAAAATGAAAATGTTATTGATTAAGCAGAAAATTTTTATCAGAGTATAATGTTATCACGTTAAAGTAAAAATGATATTTTTTTCTTTGTAAACAATTTTATTAGAAGAACATATAAGTGATGATATTGAACCTGAAATTATGTCTAAAAATTAAAATGTTCTTAAATTTCAGAAGAAAATAAACATATTTTTATGTAACAATCAATTAATTTCTTCTGTGATTATTCTTGTGACGGGATTACTTTAAATTTAATTAATTTATAAGTGTATCAATGTATTTTGATATTGTTATTATTACCATTCACAGGTATTTATAAAGTCTACAGTTTAAATGTTAAAATTAACGTTATTTAACGAAAAAGAAATAATTATTTTTTTAATCCGTAACATTCAATGTAAACTTACATACCTTCTGTTGATGATGACTTTGTATCTTCGTTTTCATTATCATTTTCAAATTTCACTCCTTTTTTCTTTCTCTATATTTTTTAACTCTTAAACTATTCAAATCTTTTTCGTGCTTTCTTTTCCGATCCATTATTTTAAATTAACGATCGACACACTGATCACAAAAGTGACATTTAGATTTGCAGGTTATGTCGTCTCAAAACAGTGACGTACTAAAAATGAGGGAAATTCAAGTTACTTCCAATTTATGATTTTATAGGTTATGCGAGGAACAAAAAATAAAAGTGGCAAAACCGAATAATTTCGGGGCATAACAAACTTGTAGAAAAACTGGCAAGGGCCTTGTCAGAGCCTTAATTTAAATGTGTCTAGATGGGGCAATTTCTGCACGGGTAGCGTAATCCCATAGGTGTGCTTTTATCAACCTTCATTTGCAGTTTCCAGGTGTCGTAAGTTTGCTTATCGAGAAGCTCAATCTTCGAAAAATTCATCTTGACCACGCGTAATTTCCAATGTACACTTAACGTAAACCTAACTATTGCTTTACACGAAAAAGTCAAAAAAGAAAACCTTCCATTCATGTATGTCAGGGTCCATAATTTATTAGAAATAGGCGATATAAGCCTGATTGGTACAAGCAAACTAAACTATACATGATTTTAATAAGTCATGCGACCTGCTCAGAAATTCTCTGATTGGTCGAATGTATAAGTAATTAAATCGCAGATCCTTATATTTGAATTCAAAGTTCTTTGAGACTAAACTCGATTAAGGGAAAAAACTCGTGTAAATGTACGTTTTTTCATGAATTTTTTAAAACAAACTGGTAAAATTTATTGAATGACAGTAAATCATACCTTAAAGTATCTTTGATTTTGCGCCATGCAGCCTACAGGTCACAAATCTACAGATAATAAACTAATTTTTAAAGCAACAACAAAAAATTGTAAAAAAAAATAATAAATATTACATCTTAAAACTTTACAGTTCTGACACATTCTATATAAGATGATTTTATTTATTCAACAAATTTAATTTAATTAATGTTACAATGAATAATAATAATAATGATAATAATAACACAGACATGATAATTGAAAAGAGGTATCAAAATGAAGAAGAACCGGTTAATTTGAAAACCACAAGTTTTAAACTCGATAATGATCATCAAACAGATAATGTAGATGAAGCTAGTTCTCCTGAATCGGAGAATGATTTATCATCAGATGATTCTCATCAAGGTAATAAATCGTAAAATTTTAATATTATTATCTACTCCATCATGTCTAATTTTAATTATTTTTTTTTGTTCTTTAAATAAAAGTTTGATGTTTTTCATCTAGAAATTCCATTACAAAACGTATATCTATTTCATAAATTTTATACACTGAGAAAAAAATGCTGTTGAATCAATGACATATGGGTTTGATTCTTTGAATAGTGTCATACCGGGCTGCATAACGTATATGTCATTGTTTTGAAAGCACCGATTTTAATGATTCGATAGTGTCACTGTCATTGAAACATAAGCATATTTCTTAAATTGACAGAAAACTATGTTAATGTAAAGATATTTTTATTGAGTCAACAGAATATGCTTTTGAATCAAAGAAAGAAGTTTTTAAATTCAAAAGTATATGCTTTCGATTCTATAGAATATGCTTTTGAGTCAATGAAAAAATTTTTTAAATTTAAAAGCATATGCTTTAAAATCCATAATATATGCTTTTGAGTCAATGGAAAAAGTTTTTAAATTTAAAGCATATGGTATAGAATCTATAGCATATACTATTGCTTTAATAGCACCATACTATAAACTCAATCCTCTTATGAGGTTAAATGAAAACAACGATAAATTAAAAAAACTAATCTAAGCTTACAAATTTTTCATATATTATAATTATTTCTCATGTTCACACTTCTATATATTTATTTTTTTTTATTTTGCACTCTCACATACACAACACACATATATATATATATATATTTTAATCAAATGAATTTCCCCTTCCATACACACACACTCACACACACATATATTTTTTTTGAAGCCTTAAAAACTTGGTATTCCTTAGTGGTCACCCATCAAAGTACTAACCGCGATCAACGTTGGTTAACTTTCGTGATTGACTAGAATCACCGAAGTCCAACGTAAAACAGTAGCTTCATAGCGTTGAACGATTACTTTATAGTCAAATATCGTCAAATATAGTTTCGAAAAAATACGAAAAATTATAAAATAGTAAAATAAATTTTTTTATAATTCTAAACATATCATAATTATGGGTTTTTAGAATTTTTAACTTAATCAAAAAATAAAATTTTTATGAATTTATAAAGTTTTATTTATAAACTTTATATTATATATAAATAAAATTTTAGAAAAAGGGAAAAAAATCTTTTTATAGTTACATTTAAAAATCTGTTATACAGATTGCCCGCAATGACGCCATTTATTAAAACAAAAGCACACGATTAATGAATTAAAAGTTTAGTTAATTGAAATAATAATTCATGTCATTATTTTGATGACAATAGTTAAGAATGTTTCAATAAGTTGGGTATCAATGTCTCAAATGCATAGTTTCACGATTTTTATAGCATCTGCTATAGGCAGCCCGCAATAACACCATTCATTGAAACGAAAGCATATATGCTTTCGTTTCCAAGAGCTTGCTTCTTTGAAGTAAACAATTTTTCGTATGATTCAAATTTATATACATTTTCTTCCAATTTACCTTTCAGATGCTTCAAATAAAAATTGTCAAAGAATCAATAAATTATTCTGTTGATATAAATAGATTAACTATAGCATCAATTTACACAATGGCATTAATTTTACAGTACCATACTTTTGATTTAAATAGTTTCGTTTTATGTAATATACTTTTCAATCAATAAAATTGTTATTGAATCAATAACGGGAATTTCAATAGCATTCAACTATTTGATTCAACAGTATTTTTCTCTCAGTGTACAAAAGAAAATTTTATAATTTTTTCAAAACTCATGAATGTAGAATTATATTCTAATTTTAGTTATTTGATTATCTTGTCCACAAAACCCTATGATGTAGGCGCTTTATGCCTGCTTCTTTAATCTTTTTTTTGATTATTTTTAACACTATTAAATACTTCACATTATTCTGCTAGAATATATAATTTAAAAAATTATAAATTGTTTTTTGTCAATTTTTAATGATTTTTGAATTCATTAAATTAATTCTCTAAAAATTAAAAAATTAAACATTACTAAACATTTAAGTTAAAAATTTGTTGTAACTTAATCAATCTGAAAGTATTTGAGAAAAAGATAAATTTTAATTTTAATTATTTACTTTCATTATACAGTTATTCTTCTTTCATTAATTTTTTATATGTTCATTAAATACTGGTGAAAATGATTTTTCGAGAACTACAATATTCTACGTGAATTATGATAAACAAATGTTCGTGGGGCAAATAACTTGTAAATTAAGTTCGCTCGAATTGAATTATCCTAAATTATCTTAAGTATCGTGAATAGTCATGAACTACCTTGAATTACTTTGAATTACTTTGAGTTATCGTGAATTAATTTGAAGTAGGGTCAGTTGGGGTAAATAGGGACAGGGGGTAAATGGGGACAAGAGATTTTGGAGCTTAATTTACAGTTTTAAAATTAAGTTGAACGTCAATATCTTAACCTCAGATCACCTGCAAGAGGTTTTGAGTATTGCCAAGCTTTTATCTTGACAATTAGCAGCAAGATAATTCAAGTTATCGCTCAATGCATAAAAACTTCAAAATCAAAGTCAAACGGTTTGAGTATTTTATCTCGCATTTAAAAGAAAACATACTTAAAAATCATACCAAATTTTTTTCTTATTCCTCATGACTCCTATAACAGAAATTCACTTGAATTTTTGATTTTTGTCAATTTGGTTAATAATGACAAGCTGTCCCCATTTACCCCAAAAATGTGAAAACTCAGGGTAAATGGGGACAGCTTGTCATTATTAACCAAATTGACAAAAATCAAAAATTCAAGTGAATTTCTTTTATGGGAGTCATAAGGAATAAGAAAAAAATTTTATATGATTTTTAAGTCTGTTTTTTTCAAATACGAGACAAAATACTGAAATAAAAAAAAATAAAAAAAAATAAAAAAATTTCAATTGGTTCAACTATTATATATCTACTACAAATTTTTTTCAAGTTTTTTCATCCCTAAATACAGTAATATATTAAAGGAATTTAATGAAATTTTCTAAATTTTAAGGTAAATGGGTCAGTCAGTTTCATGCGTTTAAAGCTGATCTAAATTATTTTCTGCTGCGTAAAATTAATCCTAGAAATGTAAATAACAACTTAAAAAAAATAAACCCACAAATATTACCTTTTAAAGGAAGAAACTTACGTAATTTGTGAAAATAGCGATTTTGTCCCCATTTACCCCAACTAACCCTATATGAATTATTCTTTATGTCTAAAGTATCATGAATTATCATGAATTACATTGAATTACTTTGAATTATCTCAAATTAATATTAATTATCTTCAATTAACTTGAAGTAAATGAATTATCCTTTATCTGAAGTTTTGTAAATTATCATGAATTACTTTGAATGACTTTGAATTATCTCGAATCATCCTGAATTTTTTGAACTATCCTGAAATATTTTGCAGTATGAAGTATGAGAAAATAAATTTTTTTAGTTTTTTACCCCTCGAAAATATTGATTTTGTCAAAATATAATATGCTAAAGATTTCAGCAGTTATATTTAAGCTTCTAAGGCATATAATTAATTAATAATAACACAGCCCCACAAAAAAAAAAAGTTTCGTGCGCGGCAGACCAGACTAGTCATTTCCCATGTATTTTGACGCGCTGAACACGAATCCGAAGTCCGTTTTGCTCCATCACGTCAGGATTTTTTTCTAACCTCCAAAAACCTGTCGGATTTTGAGAGGTAGGCTATTTTTTTAAAAAATTGATGGATTTTGCCGCATGGCTTAGTTTCAAAGCAGTTGTCGAAAATTTTCTGAGTAATCACAAGAGTGAAAATTGGGAGCAAATAGTTAGTGATATGATTAAAAACTTTGGTAAGTTAGGATGCTTAATGAGCATAAAGTTGCATTACTTAGACTCGCATCGGGATCAATTCCCTGAAAATTTGAGTGATTACAGTGAAGAACAAGGAGAACGATTCCATCAAGATCTGAAAGATTTTGAGCGTCGTTATCAAGGAAGATGGGATGTAAATATGATGGCCAACTACTGTTGGATGCTGAAAAGGGATATTGTACATGGAGGCACCAATTTGAAAAGAAAACCATTACACAGATCCTTTGAGGACAAAAGAGTGCGCTACCATAAAAAGTCGTAAATACCTTACTTATGTATATAAGAATTTCCATTTCTAGTTTTGAAAATCTAACTTCAGATTCGTAATCAGCGACCCAAAAAACCCCTAGATACCAAGTTTGAAGTAAATCCATCAATTTTTACAAAATTCGTCCGCCATATTGGAGCCGCCATTTTAAATTTTGAAAATCTAACTTCAGATTCGTAATCAGCGACCCAAAAAACCCATAGATACCAAGTTTGAAGTAAATCCATCAATTTTTACAAAATTTGTCCGCCATATTGGAGCCGCCATTTTGAATTTTGAAAATCTAACTTCAAATTCGTCATCAGCGACCCAAAAAACCCCTAGATACCAATTTTGAAGTAAATCCATCAATTTTTTAAAAAAATAGCCTACCTCTCAAAATCTGACAGGTTTTTGGAGGTTAGAAAAAAATCCTGACGTGATGGAGCAAAACGGACCCTTGTGAAGTTGGCACCCCAATTATAAAAACTTAATGTTTTTTCATATAGAATCGTTTGGTGGTCGTTTGGTGGTGATTGGTAGTCGGTTTACAACGTTTGGTGGTCAAAAATAAAAAAGTTATGATAATTTCAAATTTGGGGTGCTAATTTCACGGTGGCACCCCACTTTTGAGTATTCTTTAAAAATTCTTTTTGGAATCGTTTGGTGGTCGTTTGGTGGTGTTTGGTAGTCGGTTTTTAATGTTTGGTAGTCAAAAATGTGGTTAATAAACATTTTTTTTTAAATCAGCTGCACCCCATATTTTATAATTTCACGGTTTTCGTAATGCTGTCCTTTATAGAATCGTTTGGTGGTGTTTGGTAGCCACAATAGAACAATAATGGAAAATAATAAGAAGAGAAATTAATAAAAATTAAAATTGCTCT